GAAATATAATAGAATTGTGAAATATATAACCCAATAATAATATATAATATATCAATCAATGAATTATTATTATTATTTTATATTTTTTTTGGCACGCCTATATGATCACCTGGCGGACAGCTCATCGTTATTGTCAATTATATTTATTAATTGAATTTGTTAATGATGGCGCGATGGCAAAGCCTTAGTTTAGTTGGATGATGTGATGCTTGTTGTAAGAAAATAGTTGATTGTTGCTCGATTGAAATGGGAATCGAATTTTTGATGGGTATTACTTTTTACTTCTATGATGATAAATAAATATAATATAATTAATTGTACCAATCATTTTAATCTATATATATAATTTTGCTTTTTTATTAGCGGTAGTAATAGTAAATAAAAGATATGAGATTTTGTTTGTCAAGCAAGACGTGTTTTTTCCGATTATGCAATTATGCAATGCAATTTTTTGCATCTACATTAATAAACAAGAAGTTCTAGCTTCACTTTAAATTCACAATCATGGATTCGGTTGGTAGGTTATGGGTCAGACTTCTGCACTAAGTTTTTTCTGTGATATTAGCATTTAACAGACATTTGATATTGATAATTTTAGAAGTCAGGGAGGTCAGCTACATCTTGATAGCTCTGAGCATTCATGTTCTCTGAGCATTCATGTTCTTGATTAGATTCTACACGCAAGGTGATGGCATTTGGATTTTTGTTTCCCTCTTGATCTCGCTTAGCCTTGGTATCAATATGCTATCGTTATCACCAAAATTCAATTGCCTATTCTTTGTCAGATATTTTTGCCAAAAATGATTGCGCATCTTCATTATCAATGGTGAATCTATATATATACATTTTTCATATCATCTTTAAAATTTCTTCTTCCATCAATGAAAGTTCCAGGATTGTTTCGTCGTAACATCGAACACAATATGACTATCTGGAAGGTTATTGCTCTCGTGGATACTTAACACAAAGTTTTGCAAAAAGAAACAGTCTTTGTGCATTATAAGTTTGTGAAAATAATTGGGAGATATATTTTACCCATCTGGAAATTGTAATACAGATTAAGAATTTCAAAGAATATCAGATTGCAAATGATTTCATCTTAATTTATAATTTAATGAAATTGTTCATAGTAAAGGCAAAAGCTTATCGAGAACGCGATACTTGGCTTATAAGTTATCATTATAAATACCAGCAAATGAATATGCACTGTATTTTGTCAACTTAACGGAATCCTTCAAGATCTTACGGTTTAAAAGAATTATACCTGCAATATTATAACATCAATAGGAAAATTACTTTAAAAATAAAAATTTAAATAATAATATCTATATAATTAATAAAATAACTTGAAATCAAATTGAAAAGACTATGATTAATAATTTAAAAAATATGCCAATGAAATTTGATCATTCATCTATTTATATATCACACTCTAAAGCTTTTAAAGCTAAAGAGTAGATTAATTAAATAATACTGTATTTAATTCTATTATTTTTATCATATTCATCTATCAGGTACACATTATATTATTTGAGTTATAAAATTTATTAATATATTAATTAAATTAATTTTTATAGAAATTGAGAAAAATTTATCAATTATATATTAAAAAATCATTTCTTTTAAAGATATAAAAAGATATATCAAAAAATCTAATTAATTTTTTTAATGATTATATCATATAGATTAATAATTAATTTTCTTATAAATATTTATAATTATCTAATTTTTTTTATTTATTAAGTTATTATGATCAAAACTTTAAAAAATGATTAAGTATATTTAAAATAAATTTTCATTACTTACTATATATTAAAGAATATATTACTTGATCAGAATCATATTAAAATTATTAGCAATTTTTTTTGAATGAATAATAGAAATATTATAATCAATAATTTATAATAGATATTATTCTTATATTAATCCAGTTAAAAATATCAAACTATAAGAGAGATTTAATTATTTATCTTTTTTAAAATATCTCTGAGAGATTATTTATTATTTAATTATTTTCAAAATAATTCTATCTTTTATTTTAAGAAGATATAGAGTAATTTTAATAATTCTAAATATATATTACACTAAAAGAAAATGAATTTTGATAGTTATATACTTGATATAATACTTATATAACTAGAAAATTTTAAGTAGATCAGATTTAAAATCTTAAATATTAATTTATATTTCTTATAATTAATATTATTTTAATTTAGTTATTATCAAATAATATTTAATATACATAATTATTAATCAAAGATAGCTATTTAATTAAATTAAAAATCTCAATTTAAGATTTTTTATTATTTTAAAATAATAATTATATATTAGTAAGTGTGAGATATTTTAAAATTTACTATTATTAACATAATAAGATTAATTTCTGATTTGAAATTAATAAAATTATATCAAGTATAATATATAATTCATATTTTTAAAATATTAAGAAAATATATTATAAATATATTATATTCTATTTTTAATATACTTATAATAATATAAGTATAATATTTATATGGGTTAGTGCAAAAAAAGTTATGTATCAATATAAAATTAAATAATTACTTCTAATAAAAATCATTTAAATTTTAACCAATCTTTATAATTTTTTTGTATTAAATAAAGAATGATCTAAATTAACTTTTTATATTATTTTAATTATTTTATTATACTTTACTAAAAAACTAAAATAAAATTATTTTTTTCAAAAAAAAGATATTATAAGTATTATTACTATTAATTTATAAAATTAGAATTTTAAACTATATAAGCAGATTGTTCTAGATTTGATAAATATATATTTTAAATTTTATAAAAATTAAATTAATAGTTATAAAAATATTAAGATTCAAAGTTAAGTAATTAAATTATTTATTATATAATATTTATATTAATTTTATATAGTAAAATTTAAGAAATAATAATTGAAAAAAGCTATTATTAGTAAAAATTTTTTTATAAAAGATATATAATAAAAATTTTTACATTTAAATAAATTTCAATATCTAATAACTTAATTAAATAAGACAAAATTAAAATTTTATTTTGAAAAAATAATTTAATATTTATTTAAGATACAAATCTTTTTATACTAACTCATATATATAAATTAGATCAAGTTTATTTCAAATTATTTTAATAAATTTATATTATTTATAAAAAGATTTATTAAAAAAAAGTATTATAATTCTATAAGTTTAGCTATATAAAATATATAATTAAATATTTTAATATGAAAAAAGAAAAACTTATCATAAATAAAAATAAATATAATCAAAAGTAATATAAGATAATATAAGATTTAGTAATTTTTATTATTGATCTTAATTTTTATTATTAATTTATAAATAATTATAATTTATCTTATTTAATATAAATTTTAAAAATAAATTTAAGTTTCTTTTTATATTTTTATATTATATTATAATATCAAAATTAATTATATATCCAATAATAAATTTTATAAAAACTTCTTTTATATTATAATTAATATTTAGTATTAATTTTAGTTTTATAAAATTGTATAAAAATTCTGTATTATATTATGAATTAATTCTATATTAAATATAAATTTCAGTTTATATTCTGAAAATTTATTAATTATAAAATATTAGTCTTAAAATTCCAAAAAAATTTTGTATTTGATATTAATTTATAATAATTTCTCTTTTAAAAAAAGTTTAAAATTATAATTAATATTAATTTCTTTTTATTTCTGAAATTAATTTCTTATAATTTCAGATATTAAGTATTAATTTTAATAAAATTTCAAAGAATTTTTCTTATAAAAATTAATATTAATATTTCAAAATTAAGATATTAAATAAATTAACTAATTTTAAAATTATCTTATTTATCTCTATAAAAGATTTCAGAATAGTAAAAATAAAAATAATATTAATAAATTATTTATTTTAATTATAATAAATTTAATAAATATTTTTATAACTCTATTTAATTTTAAATTTTAGTAATAATAATATTAAAAAATCAAATAAAATAATTAGTATTTTAAATATTTTTAATAATAATAATAAATAAATAAATTAAACTAAGAATATAAGAATTAATAAATTAATAAATATAATATATTGTTATAGTGAATCTGATAAGTAAGTTTTCACTTAAATTTATCTTAATAATATTAAATTAAGAGAGACTAAATTAAATAATAAAGAAAGTGAGAAAAATTAGATTATAACTTTAATATTAACAAAGATTTCTAAGATCTGTGCTAATATTATTTTTTAAAAAGATAAATAAATAATAAAAAAATAATATAAATTAAGAAAATTATAAAGATCAATTAGTGAAATTACTATTAATTAATTATAATTCAAGATTAAATAATAAAGTTACTATTAATAAAAAAAATTATTATTATAAACTATACTCTGAAAAATAGATTTTACTATAAATATAGTTTATATAATAAGTTTTAAGAGTGAAAACTAAATTATATATAAAGATAAAAAGAATTATTATTATTTTAAAAATTTTCTAGTATTAATACTTATAAGTATTATATTAATACAAGATAAAAATAAAATATAATAAAATATAAAAATAAAGTTGTGATTACAAATATTAAACTAAGGATAGATACCAAAAACTAAAGCAACAAATGCTTATAACCAAGATATTAATACCAAATATAATAAATACAAATACTAAAATAATAAATACTAATTTTAAAATAACAAATGCTAAACTAAGCTTTTATACATGAAAAAGCTTACAAGAATCTTCTAAATTAAATAAAATATATTTGGCTTATTTTAAGTAGAGAATATTTATTATCTAAGTTTTTTAGATAAGAAAAACTTGTAAATAATTAGAATATAATTTATTATGATAAAAGAGATAAATGAAAGTAAGATATCAAGATAAAAATCAAAAAAAATTATAATATAAATATAACTCAAGTATTATTAAAGATAATTGAATTATTACTATTCAAATATATTTATTTTAGATCTCAAAGCAGAAATATTTATATATCTTTGAGATTTTACAAGTTTTTATTCAAACTTATTTACTACTCTAGATTATAATTACAATCTTTGAGATAAAAAATTAATAAATAAACAAGTAAAATAAGAAATAAAATGTATATAATAAGTTATAAGATAATACAAATAATGAAATAAAATGAAAAGATAAGATATATATATATTCTAAAAAGAAAAGATAAATAATAAAAATAAATTAAATTTGTTGCTGAATTATTTTTAAAGTATTTCTAAACTATTATTAAACCATTTGTGAACTGTTATTGATTTTGAAACTAATTATTTATTTATAATCTTGAAATATTACAAAAATATTATTAAATTATAATTGAATTCATAACTAATATACTAATTATATTATTCAAAATCACATGTTATCTAAAGATCAATTAGTCAAAAATTCTAAGTTTGAAAAATTATGAAATTAAAGAAATTTATATTACTATAGTAATATTTAGTTTCTTTAAGTAAAATCAAGCTCCAGCAAGACTATTAAGTTTTATTCAAAATTTCTTTGATTTCTTTATTTCTTATATATATAAAATTATTATAAGTAATTTATTAGAAATTATATACTTTTTCAAGTCTATATTTCTTTAATAGCTAATAAATTCATTTTTCAAGAAGAAAATATCTTCTAATTGAAGTAACTTCTTTGGATTGAGCCAGTTCTCTTTGTAGTTTATGAGCTTTCTTGAATATTATCTAGGTATTTCTTTAATTAATTATTTAAAGTAATAATATTTAATAAATTATGATTTATCAGATTGATTATTATAATTTTTAAATAAGTCATTAAATATAGTCTGAACTCTTGTCTTCTAGCTTTGATCAGGTCAAAATTGATAAGAGATATTTACTGTAATTATAATTTGTAATATCTCAATATTAATTATATTTA